TCTCCCAGAATTCCCCAGCCAGCATACTGGCTGGGGAATTCTGGGAGATGAAGTCCACACATCTCAAAGTTGCCAAGGTTGAGAAAAAATGCTTTAGGCAAGAAGAGAATAGTCTGTATTCTGTTTGCAAAGGAAGATGCAAAAGACCCCAATGGACACTGAGCATGCTTGGTGTTCATAGAATGCGACTATCAAGGGGTTAGTCAAGTAGCAATGGTAAAATGGCAAGGCTACCATATCTGGGCTGCAAAAAGATGGACACCCCCTTGATGACAGCGAAGAGTAGTTTTTTTGTAATCCTTCTGGGGTTTTGCAGCCCTGATAATCCTCATCATGGAGTCCTCTGGCAGATAGCATGGTTGGCTGGAACCCTATGGAGGACCCCTCTTTGTTACAGGGCAGGCAATTCTTGTGAAATGCAAAAAAATAAGTGAAAAATAAATGAAGGAGTCAAGGATTCCCCATCGACACCCCACAGAATGTCAGTTTTGCAGATGAGCAACCTCCTTAACAAAAACAGTGTAAGACATTTCTTTAATACTGTAGCTGTACATAATTCAGAAATTCAAGGCATGTCACTTTATCACTGCATTTCCATGTTTAGGAAAGGCACACATGTGGAACATCTGTCTGGTAAGTTGTTAGAGGAATAGAAACCTTACCATAAAAAAACACACACAGCCATCTTATTTCTATCACAGATCCTAAACCAAGAGCTAGTAAAGTTTATCACAAGTATGCTGTTATTTTTTAAAACCCAAACTGAAAAAATTGTGGAGGCGCCCTGCCCTGCCACAGAAATGATCTTCACTCCAAAAGTATGTGTGTGTTATGTTCCACTAATTTAACTTTCTCTAACAGTTACATTTTTAATATTGTTTAACTTAGTTTTATTTTGACTAAATTGTGCAAAATTGCATGTTGCAATTAGTATTTTAACATTCATATCAGAGCCCTAAATTTATTAACAAGATGAAGGGTATCATCCTGCAATGGTACTATGAGTAAACTGTATTAAACTCACTGGAACTTACTTCTGCACAGGATTGTGCAAAGATTAAGCTTTATTTTAAAAAATGCACGTTTTGAAGTTCACGTTTTTAAAAATCTTTACATCCATAGAGCAAGATCAATATGCTTAGAAAAGCAAAACAGCTACTAAAATAAAACCATGGTAGGGTAGAAAATACAAGCAATCCATATCTGCTTTGCACAAGCATTATGAAAGTGTTCCCCTGTTCGTTATGTTCACTCTATTTAAAATAAAAGTAAAGAGCCAATCAATGTGACAGCACAGTTCTTCTCTTATTTGCTCACCTGTCATAGAAATCATCTCTGTAGTAATCATAGTCAAAGTCATAGCCACTGCTTTCAAAAATAAAACAAAAGAGAACAGGATTAGTATTATGCTTCCCACCAATTACATTTTTGTAGCAACTATTGTGAAATAGCAGGATTCAGTTTCATAGATCTGGAAGGAAACCAAGTGTTCTGGATACATAAGTCTCTGATTCAGAGAAGCAAAACTATGTCATCACAGAGAACTCAGATTTACCACTGTACGTGTTTCAGGACACAACAAGGCATTTGGCAGTGTCTGTGGGAAATAATGTAATCAAAACCAAACAACCAAGACTTTAGATTTTCATTATGACATGGCTTCTTATTGATGTTACAATGATACTCAGCATCTCAACTAGCAAGAATTTACTGGCTCACACATAATACAAAACATTAATACAATCTGCAATGACACCATGTGATAGGTAAACCAAGCTAATATTGCTTATTCACAATCCATGGATTTATGTGTGAACTTAATTACTGTGTGTTAGGTTACTAAAAGATAAATGGATAGCAGCTGGGAATTCTGAACTATCCAAAAAATGGTTGATCAGGAGATGTGTGTTTGTGTATTTTAGCAACAGCACCTGCCTTGGTTCAGATGCTATAACTACTGTGACAGTGCCAGTGGTTGACTTAATAACTCACCATTTCTTTTTCTCTTCCAAGAGGGATATTTTATGAAATAATGAAGTAATGAAAGTATAATATTGCAACCCTTCCTAGAAGAAACTTCCAGCAGAAATCCGGCTGGCAAATCACAGAAATTGAAAGCTTTGACATTTCCTATTAAAAAGGAGTGTAGTTAGCAACACATTTGTTGGAAAGGTCAGCTTAAAAGTGAAAATTTTAATTTTGACTTGACATCTTTGACTTCATGGTGACACGAATGTGACATTTCCAGACAATAAAATCCAAGAGAGACATAAAGCTCAGTATTTCCACAAAAGAAAACACCCTACAACTGATGTTTCTAGAGAGTCTTCTCTATAAGGCAGAAGGCTGAATTTGGATAAAGAAGGACTCAGTTGGTGACTTTAGTGCACTGGATTCACATGTTGTTCAATTATATTGTGGTTTGTTTGGTTTTGGCTTTGGATGTTGTACAAATTCAGCCCAGTCTTATTTCTTCTATAAACCATAAGTAAACTATCTTTGGCTTAGTATTATGCATGAACCCAATCATTAGCTGGTAACCAATGGGTGATTGTGATAATAAAAGAGATAGTCCCATGTCTATATCCTGGACTTCTCAGATGGAAGAAATAATAACATGTTATGGGTAGATAGATACAATTACCCTTAAATTAAACTATATAAATTGGTTTAATAAATAAAATAAATAAATAAATTCTATTTCAATCAATCTTAGCAGGAAATCTTTGGGATGCTGCAAATGGCTTGAGTCTTCATATGAAATTCCTACTTTCTTATACCACCTGTATATTTTTTTCAATCAACAGCTTGAGGGCAGGACACTGACTTTTATTCTGATTATATGGGAGGTCCCATCCTGCAATTTCTATTTGGCTTCAACAATAGCTATTTATATTTGCTTGGGCAAGGAAAAATAAACGTATTGAACTAGAATCTAGGAAGCGGCCAAGTTTTCTTTTTGTTCTATACAGTTCAGTAGACTGCACTGAACTGCAGTAGTTTTCCAAGATTTCAGATGGGATTTCCTCAGCCTTTATTGGACTAGAGGCTGCCCTATGTTCCATGTTCTCTGGGGTCTCTGCACAGGCTGCTTATTCTCACTCCTATTTCTTGCTATTTTTTATGGATCCTAGAGTGCCATAAAATGGGATTGTATATATTTTGAAGTTCTGATTTTTTTTATTAATTTGTGCCAAACATGCGCTGTATAAATATACAAATTTGCATAGCATATTTTCTCCTGAAGTAGCTTACTTCAAGCTGTGGCTAAATTATAAAGAAAGAAATATAAAGGAAAAAAAATTATCATTTAGCCTTGTTCTTGCAGTGCTATTTTTTTAATGTGCAATGAGAGCCCCAAATGGGGACCTATTCAAACAAACAATTTCCCTTTTGTAGACTGTTTTTAAAAGAGAATAGTGCACAATTGTGCTTTTTATGTAGTAAATGTTAAAATCTCCCTTGGATTGAGCTCAATTCCTTGTCAATTTCATGGACAAGTATACACAAGTGATTTGCCACTGCCTTCTTCCAGGAAGCAGTTCTGACTTTTTGTCTAGTGTACAACCCTCCCATCCAAGTATTAACTAGGTTTGAACCTGCTTAGCTGTTTTGAGATCAAGCACTTTTGGCTACATGTAGTAAACTGGCATAAATTCTACTAATTTTATTCCAGATTCTAATCTAATCTAATCTAACTAAAAAAAATGGAAAATAATTCCTAAAAAAAATGTTCAGATGATGCACAAAAGTTGCATTATGTTAACTGTAATACACAACTTTTATTATATACATGCCGTATTTATTGTTTATTGTGTACCCACATGCACACACATAATTATTGGTTGTGTTCACATAACATGCTTAGCCAGGTCAGTTAAAGAGGTAGCAACTCCATTTGCACAAAATGCTAATCTCTTTACTGTTAATATTGGGTAGATTTTTTTTTGTGTCTGATTTAGTGTCCTGTGTGAACCCAGCCTAGATAGTCTTCCTTTTTTCATTGGTCACTAATACACAATTAGGCTAAATTCATGAATAAAGCTAAAGTAGAAAATGTAATAATGGCTTGTGAACAAGCCATGTTGACTTGGTTGATTTAATTCAGTAACACCAGCTTCACTGTGTTACTGTGTTAACATAGCTTCTGTATTATAAAAAGTCAAGGGAAGAATTTGGGCACATTTAAAAGCCCTGAACAAGCCAATCCACTTCTCCTCCACTTGCCAAACCCAAATGCCATGATCTTCACTGATAACATTCATTCATTCATTCATTCATTCATTCATTCATTCATTCATTCATTGTATTTATATAGCTGCCCATCTCACACAAAGTGACTCTGAGAGGTGTACAATAATTAAAAAGAATAAGTACATAAAAACGATTACAATAAAAAACTATAAAAGCACACATATGTATATATATTCATATACATGAACTTCAGGGAAGGAAGACTGTATGTATGTATGTATGTATGTATGTATGTATGTATGTATGTATGTGTGATTCTGATAGATTCTATACATCCCTTCTTGCACCAGTGCTAAGTGCCAGGACCTGGATACTTCCTAAAGCGAATACACTGTCAATAGTTATATAAAGTGCAATGGCCCATGAGTTCAATTCCAAGGAGGAGGTTTGAAACCTATAAAATAAGATCTGGCTACTGAAACATGACAAGTCCCAATAAAGATGAAAGTAGTCACGTACTGCTTCCTGTTAGTCTATGTAACATTCTTCACATAGTATGTTTATCCATATTTTCAAGAAAATGATATTCTTGAAAAGGGATGGGACACCAACTTCCTTCCTTCCTTCCTTCCTGTTGCTCATTTTAACCATTGGGAAAGATCAGGGTGGATTAGGCCCTCACAGATTGCTGCAGGTACTTAGGTCTAAAGGTGGTAGCTCCAGTCTTGGGGTTAAAGAGACCAAAAGGGTCTTGCAGGCCATCAGTTGCTTGTTTGTTATTCTGAATGTTCAAATTGCTTTCCAGACAAGTCAGATGATGTTTTATCATTGTTATAATAAAGAAAATCATGCCAAAAAATATCCTGTATGGCGTTTTCAGGGACTGCTATGCCATATTTGCTCATCTGTTCTTTCTCCTTGCTGTTAGTTTATTTTAGGGCTTTATGGAACTTCAAAGACAAACTCTAATTTAACATAGCTTCAAAGTTTTCCTTCCAAGTAAAGCTCCCCTTCCAAGTGGTGTTTCAGGGTGGTCATCTAGCTTCTACCTGGATGTCCAAAAGAGCCTCTGATTGAATGTCACATATGCCAGGCAAAGTTCAAGGCAGCAAAATGAGGAACAACTCAGTTTTGTTCATTACCTTGGATCAGATTATTTAAACAATCTAGACTGAGATAATGTCTCAAGGCAGAACTTTATGCAAGCCTAATTTATCTTTATTTATATTTATGCCTGCATTTACCTCACTCCAAATAAACGTGCTGGATTCATGATTCCTATTTTTATAAACCTTGAATATAATCCCTTTCCTATTAGTTCTGTCAAATTCCTGTAATGCTTTTCAATCAGAAACAACAATTAGGAAATAAATATTTGGCCCTTTTAATGGGAAACAAATGACAAATGTATTATCAATGACAATTCTTTAATCTTTGATCTATGTAATGGACAACGCCACCCTCTCAAAACTGTAACTTCTTCATAGCCTTAACAACAGAGCATAGAATTTAAGGCCACTTGCTCTAAGATTTCTATACCCATGGCAGACACTGATCAAGTTATAAATTAGATGTTTTCTTAATAAACAACCACTGTAAGCAAAGACATGAAGGGACAAATGCCATTAATTATTCTGGTGGCCTCTGGTTTGCAAATGTTCATTATCTGAAATTAGTAATGGTTTGGGGATTGACTTTGACTTAGGGAATAGCCTAACTTTTCTCCAGCTTCGTAAATACAAATACTGCCTTGTAAATGTCTTTCTTCAGTGAGAAAAGTAGGGAAGTATCTTAACTGGGATGAACATATCTGAGACTTTAACAGCTGTAACTAGTTCTTTCAAAAATAGATAACTCCAAAAGTATTCCTTGTTTTTTTTCCCAGCAAGCTTGGAGAGCTCATACTGCGACCTGACTGTAGTCTATATGAGATGAAATCTAACTTGCTTTCCTGGGAGCTCTCCTACATGCCACCTAAGTAAACATTCCACCATTACATTAAAAAAATACTACTTTTCTCTTAGTCCCTGTTTTGTTTAAACATCTCACTAAGGAAGAGTTTTAGAGAATTAAGAACATACTGTAAAACCAGTGGCCTAATCAAAACTTTAACTGTGGATTTTTGACTTTCTGTTTATGGTCAACATGGTTATTAGCGTTTAATTACAGGTTCC